GGTAAAGTGGGCACTCGTTGTTCTTTACGATGTTCTTAAAATTATTGTATTTTCATCTCAGAGTATAGACTATCGTCAAACATAACATTAATTACCATTTGGAACTGTATTTTTGAAGAAATGAAAAGAGACAACAATAAAAACGAACTGATCAAGGGGGGGAGGGGGCAGCCCCAACAATGGGGCCCGAGGCATAGGGCCACATAGGGGCCAAACAGCACCAAACAGCCGTCGCGAGCGCAGACCACGCAGAAGGCCGTGGCCGGTTCGGTGGCCAGTGACTTAGACTGAAAACCATCAAGATTTTTGTTAAAAATTCTCAAAATAATACTTTTAAACATGAAAAAAATAAAGTGGAAAAAGAAGAAAGCGAGGTTCCGTATTTTGAATAGTTTACTTCAATGTTTGTAGCTGTTGTGTCTTCTGAGATTAAAAGGTCCACTAATAAGCTGGGTTAGGGACTTAAAATGAAAATCTGCATAATTACTAAGAGATCTCAAAATAATACTATTACACCTGAAAAAAGGGTTCATTCTTTGAATTGATATGGGAATATGCAGCTTTCAATAGTATAAGTGTCAAGTCTGTAGGTATTTCGTGTTCGGAGAGGAATAACCGTTACGTGACACGGCACTTGGATTAATACTCGTTCTTCCTACAACTAAGTATATGAAGGGGTGGTAAAGAGCAAGTAAAAAGGTCAGTAGTTAGATTGGATTATAAAAGAGGGACAAGAGAGAAACAAAAGGAAGTTCGACACAGATCTTAAAACAAAATTTAGACATAAGGTGTATAAATAATATTTAGTCCAGAAATGGAGTGGAGTACAAAAGGCTAAAGAAGAGAAAACTCGAGGAAATTATTAAAGAAAAATTCAGCTCATCCTCAACAGGTGGCAACAAATTTTTCCCACCTTTATGGACTGAAAATAGGTTGAAAGTACATTTAAGTTGAGCATTGGATACACATGCACGCACCAGAATGTGCTTCAGTTCACCATGGCTTCATTAGACCACTGAACAAGACTTGTGAAAAACTGCATCAGTCCACCTCCTGCTCTTTTGAATTTTAAAGAATTATGAAAATATAGGCTTACCTGCTAGATGAATTTGAAGTTAGAGACACACTTGTTAAACTCTTTTTCTTCTCATGCGGATGTTTATTAGTCGGTGCATGGCCCAAAATATTCCCACTGGACTTGGATGAATTCTGAAAGATAGTTAAATACTGTAAGTAGTAGAACAGCATGTATAATCAATTAAAGAAGTTAAGTGTTTGTAATTATACCTTTGCGTTCTTTCCCTTGCAATCTTGAACATGATCTTTGCAAGAAGTTTGATGAACAGTTGAAGAACAATCTAAGTAAAGAAATTCAGACGGTATTAACAAAGGCCTCTTTGATAAGAGATTGACTAGAAAATTTGAATAATAATAAATTTTGCATACTTTCACATGAAAAGGCTGGTTTGTTGGTAAGAGACTTTGCACACCAATCACAAGTGTGAGGTGCAACATAGCAAACTGAAACCCACTGATGAGGAACTTTCTTTTTGTCCTGGAATAAAAGCACAAATTATTATTGCACAGATATAATTGTAGATGATTCCTCAAAAAAAAAAAAAAAAAAAAAAAAAAAAAAAAAAAAAAAAAAAAATTTGCTCAAGAAATTTTTCTTTTACCTTTTTCTTCCTGAAAAACAAGCTTCCTCGTTTCCTTCGCTTTTCTACATGGTTGTCATAAGCAGGACTGAAAAAGAATTCAGACTTTAGGAACATCACAAAATAACAATGATCGGAACCTAGAGAGAGCTGAAATTGGTATCAAGTAATTCAAAGCTCATTGTAAGTGATTTTGAGTGCTCCAGAATAATTTCAAGATGGACTAAGCATAGCTAGAAATTTAAATAGAAAGTCAAAGTTTGAAGAAACTGATCCAAATATCCAAAGGTAACAGAAAAAGTAGTACATTGATAGATACAATGCAAATTTGCTCTGAACTTTTCCAAAAATCAATCTTTTTACTACTACAAGCCAATTCATAAATCAAGTCAGAGAATTTTTTTACATTTTGCAAATTTTTTTTTATTTATTTTTTTATTTTAAATGAAAGTTGCATAAAAATTGTACCCTGCCCTTCAATTACCCCTTAAAAGAGATCAGATTGTTTTATTTACAAATTAAGTTTTTAAAAAGAGAAATTATAAAACAGTATTTTATTAGATAGAAAGCAGCTCATGCATGAATCAGTGCAAATGGCCTTAAATATGATGGACTTGAGTTGACGTTACTTGCACACTTACTGTTTCTGAGACATCTGAAACCACTCTGTTGTCAGATTGGCTAAACTTAAAAGTGCACAGTAGCTACTTTCTGTACTCACTCAGCAAGCAAATGGTGAAGTGAAAGCTGGCTATTTGTAGGAAGGAGTCGAGGTTCTTCTTCTTCTGTCTCGCTTTCCGTGCCCAGACGTTGACCACTGTCGCCAAGGCGTGCACATACAAAGCTACAAGTGCCAGAAAAGCTCAAAGAAGTGCTAATGTGCCACAAGCATGTTGAATGGTATGAAAATGTAATTTAAACCCCTCTACACCAAAACAAAACTTGCATATTCAAATTCATACACATATCAGGGGGAAAATTCACATTAAGGTGTAAATTAAAAATATGGAATTGGTGACGGCTAATGACGTCAGGTTAGGTAAGGGAAATCCCCATGCAATAGAACAGTAATGGGAAACACATGTATGTTTCTTATACAGTTCAATTACCTACTTCGATTCTATCATAATATAAGAATCATTTAAGTATTTGCTAGGTAGGTTTAAGATCAAAATCAGTAATCAGTATCTTTCCCTAGGACATTAACTTAAGATATGAGAAAACAAAAATAAAAAATA